CCCCCCAATCTCCCCCTATTTCCCAATGACTCTCCTTCTCTCTTGTTCTCCTCTCCTAAGCTGTTGATTGACAACTACTGTTTCTCTAATTGGCAAGTGTGGATAGAGAAGAGTCAGGCTTATTCTCCATGGGACAGACTAAGGAAAGGAGTGTGAGAGGGAAGGGAGATGGAGGGGGGGGGACGACGACATACAAGAGAGCCTTCCAACAATAAGAGGAGATAGATGCCGAAAACAAGGAAAATGAAATGATGGAAGACATGAGGTGAGGAGGATGGAGGTGAGAGCTGAACATCTGTTTGGTAATCAGTCCCCCCCCCCTCACTGCAGTGTAACACACAATGACACCTATTTGATAATTGGTGAGCCTGCCCTCTCCCTCAGCTCTTGGTTAAATGGTTGCTTGATACAAGGAAGAGCAAAGGGACTAGCTGTTGGCAGTGCAATCTGTTTACTTGGTGCAGCTCAGGTAAAGATCCATAGCAGGTTGCGTGTGTGTGAATATGCGTGTGTGTGTGGTTTAAGCTTTAAAATCTGGTTAATAGTTACAATGAGCTCAATATGTGACTTAAAGCGTGCGTGAAATGTGTAATATAACCTCTGAGCAATGCTATTGCAAGGATAAATATGATCTCTTTTGTCTCTCTTATTTCTAGGTGGTGTCCTTAAAGAAATTGCCTCCACACACACAGACCTCCTCCTTCTTCCACGCTACAATCTTATTCTGAGTGCAGGAGCTGAAGGGAAGCACACAGAAAAAAGGAGAATGAGCTCCAGAGCTCAGAGGAGAGAAAGAAGCAATGGAGGGGGAGGAGGTGGGCCTCTTTTGCTCCGGTCTCGACCACGGGTATTCTTGGGTTGATAATACAGATGTGGATGTTATTGCTTGAGAATACGCGTAGTCGAGTGGAAGCTTTATCATCTACAGCGGACCAAAAGCAAGACTCTATTCAGGAGAGCACAAAGGCAGACACATATAAAATGTATAGCCAAGCTGAGTAGGTGACACAGACATTGGGGTGGTTTTTAATTAAGAACCCAGAGGTGACTTTTTACGAGGGGAAAGGCTTATTTTGTTCAATCAGGAAGGTTTTTAAATAGAACCGCAATCAGGGCTAGCCAAATCAAATCCAGCCACTGAAAAGGTTTTATCATCATAGATTTATCAACCATGTCACTCTTTACACCTGTGGAGGAAATGAGTTTGTTTCGCTGGCCAGGTTGAGCTTCTCCTGCAGAGGTGCTGCTGGGGGGGGGACTTGCACCATGCCACTAAGCTAAACCCCCCGGGCATTAGTTCAGGGAGCTTAACACAAAAGCCTTCAGACTCAGACGTTAATTCCAAACCTTCTTGATTACATACCCTTGTCAGTCAGCCGTGCTTACAAGTGAGCCCATAATCTTATCAGTTGATGAGTGTCTTTCACAGCCCTTCACACTCTACTCTAAACGTTTTACCAAAACAAGTTTTTGCGAAATTGGTTTCATGAATGTAAACGGCTGCGCTGACCATGGGATTGTACATTGTAACCGTGCATATCCATCATTTCCCATCCCACTTCTCTTTCACTGTTGTATTCCCTGGCTCATACTTAAAATGTGTGAGAGTTGGATGCCTTTAGCCGCAGCAACAGGAGACAGTAACACATGAGGACATGTCAAGACTTGCACCCGTGGCTGACATTTCAGCATGCGGCTCAGCTGACTGGCTGTCATGATGGGGAAACACACACACACACACACACACACACACACACACACACACACACACACACACACACACACACACACACACACACACACACACACACGTATATAAACTGCATGAGGGTACACATGATCTACATGCCAGTGGGGAAATATGGGATTGATGGATCTTATAAAAACAAGTACACAGACAGATCCCCATATGTATGAAAGCACACACACTGCAGCAAGGTTCACTGGGTCCATGTGCCAGTGGGGAAATAAGGGATTGATTGATTTTATGGGTAACTATTCTTAGTCAGAATGATGGATGTTTATGTCTTTTATTGATCAACTTGAGGTGTGGGTCTGAGGAGTTCTTCGTCATCAGGGCATGCTGATTAATCAGGAGGCAAAGGTGTTGGAATAAAACATCCTGAATTACATATTTGGTGCATTAGCATTATTGCTAAGTATTATAAATTAGAAAATCAACATTGCATTGCTAATTCAGCAGTAAATTAGCATCCGTTTGCAAATTTGCCCATGATGAATTACACTCTTAGCCTGTACTACTCCATGATTTCGCACTCCTACCTAAGCAAATCTGTTATTTATAAGTACAGAATGTAATTATAATTCATACAAATTTCGACATTGCGTTGTGTAAACTTGTTGATTCGACAAAGCCCTTTCTGTGGTTTTGTGTGTATTTGTGTATGCATGTGTGTGTGCTTCTAAGCAACAAAATGACTATTGTGAGCACAGCTCCAGGTGCCTAGCAACCGAATCGCTCTGTTTCCTTGGCAACAGTTGCCTCGCACTCACTGTGTGGGTGATTGGCAGCCTTGACAACGGAGACGGAGTGACACTTGACCTCGCGTGCTGAATGGGAGAGGAGAAAGAAGGAGCGAGGAATAGAAGAGAGGGGGAGGGAGTGGGAGGGGACGTGCAGAGACAGACGAGAGACTAAGTGATAATCATTCTCCATTGTAATCATCCTCCAGCATGTTTCATAAGGCGTCGTCAATACCTCTCCAGCTGGGGTCCATCATCAAACACAATACACAGTGCAGTGCGCGCATGCAAGGAGACACTCCACCTGGGTGGAGAGCCCGGGCAGGCACTCCACATCTCATCTATTATCACTCAGCCCTGCCCGGTGCACAGCCTCGCTACACTGTGTCTTCTTTCATTTGTGGTCTGCTTCATCCTGTGCTCTGTGGGAATGAATGGGCACTGTACTCCTCAAATTGTGTCACGGTCACAGATGCCACAGGAGAGTAGATCAGAAGTCGTGAACACGAGAAACGGGCACAGTCTTTGAATTAAAGAACTGGAAATGTGGGAGGGGGGTTTTGTGGTTCATCCATCCATTCACTAGTTGTATAGGTTTTTGTGTGAGGTTTTCTTTTAACCAAAATGATGACTACAACTGTGTATAATTGACTTTGTAACTGAGCGGTTCAAACTCAAATAAAAACTTAATTTGGAAGTCTTTGAGTTCTTTCACCTCATTCCACTTTAACTATAAACCCTTTATTATTTTAAAACACAATGTTATTTATTATCTCTGACACTTGCCGAGTTCTTGAAACCATTTTTTCTTTATTGGCTTTTATTTTATTGTTCATCTAAATCCCAACCATAATTGTGAGGTTGTCCATCCTACTGTCACCAGCTGGTGGTGCTCAGTGGTGTTAATGTTTGCGTTGTGTAATATTAGTGACTACCTTTTGTTTCATATTCCCCCATTGAAGAAAGACTTACATCCAACCAAGTTTAAACAACCACGTCTTGATCACATAAAGAGTGTGTTGGTTCTCGAAGGAAATGTAGTAGATGAAGTTCATTACACAATCAAATGAAGACACATGCTGGCATCAAGTCTTATTACTCCTTTATTTCCATGATCACAATTATCCAATTCAAAACATTAAAAGAAAAAAATACACATTTCTCTATGCTATTCAACACTGGAGGCTAATGCATGGTAAAATAAACACTGAATACTAACACTTGATTTGAGGATTTCATTTGTACTCATTTAAAAAAATGTTAACATTTAAGCCAAAAACATAAAATTAACTGAAAACAGAATTTCCTAAGAAAAATTCAGAACCTGTGAATTTAGCAGTTAAGCATAAATCTTACACATTTCCATTCCTCTCTCCAGTGGAATGACATGTTGTGACACAACGGTCTTTATGAGGATAGCTGTGGAAACAACTCGTGGCATCACTCATGAACTGTGTTTACATTCATCAAAAGAAGAAGGTCACTCACACCTTAACTTTGAAAATCTGGAGGGTTCCTTTCCTCATTTAGGCCTTGCAACTCATCTCAGTGTATAATACAGAAGGTCCATACTGTATATTCACATATTTTTCTCATAATGCTGACCAAAAATATTTAACTTTTTATTGATTTTTACATAAAAATGCCAATAGCCTGTTTTCTGACAACACAGGCTTCTTGTAAAAATGATATTTATTGAACCTAACAACATCTAGCCATTACAAACCTAAACAGAAAGACTACACAAATACATTTAAAAATAACTAATATTGAAAATAGAAAATCTCTCTCAAAGTTTGAAGATTATTCAGGTTAGATCACTATTTTTGTATAAATCTCAATAGTCAACACTGGAGTTGCAGGCTGAAACATAACAAAGAAAGAGAAGTCATGAGACAAAGGAGAGCTTCAGAGCCTCTTTGAGCTGAATACCACATAAGTGAAACTTTGGTTCACAGAACTTTAATCTTAAGTAACCATATAAAAGCTTTTAAATAAAAAGTTGTATAAATGTCCTCTGACCAGCCTGATCCTAATGGGCCCAGGATCATCAGGCACATCCTCATCCCCTCCCTGAATCACATCCTACTCCACAAAGGCTACTGATTGGCTGATTCACAGGCATCTATCCAATCACTGTACACATCAACTGCTTCCGATAGATCTGAGGAGCATGGGTTAAGGATGAAGAGAACTTGTTGCTGAAGAGTTTAAAAATGTTTTATGATGGTGCAGGATGATATGAACTTTGTAAATCAAGACTCTTCTGAAAAAGGTATTACTTATCATATTCAGACCCCCTACCCCTACTCATGTGATATCAAAATGACTCGCACATTAAGCTGGCTGTATTGGAATACACACATTTGTAAAAAATTAAGCTTTTTCAAAGCAGGCCCCAGAATGGTTATGTATTAAAAAATATAGACTTGGTATTGTGCCGTTATGTATTCGGAAAGTGAAAAGGGGAAGAAGAGATTTAATCAATTTGTTTAAGTGTGGGCAGAGATCTTTATGATGCTGGAAAAGATAGTATAGACAGTAAAGCATTTCATATAAATTATACTGGGCCCTACGTTGGATCCAGTGGAAATGCCTGCAGTGCAAACTAGCAAGAAAACATTTAAAATATTTTGTTGAACTACTATTATCAAAAACAAAAGTTAACATTGCACGCTTCAAAAACCACTGAAACTTCATTGTAAAAAAAAACGTGGTTTGAACGGTTCTGTCATTAATAATGTTATACATGTATGTAAAAGATGATGATTCGTTTGCTTAAGGATACAGGTAATGGGCGTCTGGAACTCCTCCAAGCAGACTGTGCATGATATTATTCCAGTATTTCTGGTTCTCTCCCTGTGTGCAGAAAAAGTACAACAAAAGTTAGCAACATCAACCTGAAATACCAACAAATGTAACTTGAATTAGTTGCTGATGAGTGGATTGTTTGGTGCAATTGTAAGTACATTTTGACATCACATGACTTCTCGTGGTTGCAGAACGGACAGGTGAACTGAGAGTCCAAATCGCTCATCTTCTTCTTAGTAGGGGGCTTTCTTTTAGACTTGCGACGACCCATTTCAAACAAACTAAATCAAGTCTGTGTGAGGAGGTGAGGAGTAGACAAAAACAGGCAGCTTCAACAAGGAGAACATGTGCTTGGAGGAGAATCAACAGAGTTCAAATAAAACTCTTGAATGGAAAACCACTCCAGTCGGCAGCTGCTGCCGCTCCATATTGTTAGCAACTAAAGTTAGCAGGCTAACGTTAGCATGTTTGTTGTTGATCTCCAGTACAACATAAATCGCCTCACGACGAATAGTTAAATGGACTCTAGTACGTAAACAGATTTGATAATACCTCGATTAACCGTACTTGGTAAACATGTCGGGATTGTTAAACGAGGTGTAGTAAAAGTGTAATTTGTTTACCTTTGCTCGTAGGAAATACACGTTGCTGTAGAGTAGAAAAAGCTTGCACGACACCCCGGCACCGTCAACTGTTCGCATTATATGATTGGAGGAGAGCTAATGCTTCCTGGCTAGTGATTGGCTCTCTGACACGTCAGTCAAGTCGATTGACTGTGACGAATCAACGCCTGAGACAGCCTGACCTACTCCCGCGTGGTGGCGACAGAAGCTAGCTCTCAGGTTTGTTGTGTTGTCTAAAAATACTTGTATTTTATGGTTTAACATGAGCTGAAAAAATACTCATACTTTAAGTGTGTTACATATTTTTGACATATTGACAGTTAGTGTGGTTTCCATGACATTTGTGCCGTAGTCTTGCTTCTTTCGTCAGTGTTTTGTGCTGATATGTAATGATATCTTACAAATAACCAACACCTTGTAATCAATGTCCTTGCTAAGCTAGACAAATATCGGCTTCTGTGGAATAGAAGGATATAGCATAATATTACAATTATCGACTAACGTTAGAGAGCGCTATAGCTAGACATTACTTCTTCAACCACTGATTAAATACCATTAAAAAAAAAAAAAGTGAACAACAATTTGTTTTACTTTTCCAGTTAGGTCAGGTTGCTCAGAAAGTGTGCGTTACACTACATGTTTGGATCTTAACCATCCATGATATTGTTGTAGAGATGTCAGGTATGTGGACGGTGAAGGTGGTGGGTCTGGGTGTGGTGGCCCTCTCTCTCAGCGTGGAGCTGCTGGGTTGGCTCCTCCATCGCCTCAGGCCTAAAAGAGCCCGCACTGAGGTCCTCTTCTTCCCCTCAGAGATGGCCTGCTTGGAGCACATCTTCGCTCCCTCATTGCCTCAGTAGGTGGAACTAAATTGCTACATTGAGTAAAAGAGAGCTATATGATTTTCTCTGTATCACTGTCAAGCGTGTTGTGATAATGGTTTCTAATGGAAAAATTCATAGCCCCTAGATGCTCTCAGTAAGTGGATTTAGGCAGTGCAATAACCATTCCTCATCCCAATTGTTTTTCACTTTACAGAATTGTCTTTTACCTGCTTAATAAGTACTTAAAATAAAATAATACAGAGAAACCAAAAAGTGGGGCTATAAGCATTTTTGCCAGCTTAAAATATACAACAGCATTCCTTGCTGAATAGAGCTATTGTAACTTTGCAACCTGGAAGAGAGGGTAGGAAACTGCATACACAGAAACAAGCTTGTTTAGTATACACTTTGGAGTATCAGCACACTTATTTTCTCCTGTTTTCTGCTCTTCCAGGTCATGTTGTTGCTCGTTGCCTCACGGCGTAGAGACCTCTTTCACTCGTCTTCTCCGCTGCATCTTGTCTGCTTCCTCCTCTCTGGACGTGTGTGTATTTGCCTTCTCCAACATGGACCTATGCAAGGCTGTGCTAAAACTGCAATGTAGGGGCGTCCCCATCCGAGTCCTCTGCGACAAGGACTACGCCGCCATCCATGGCTCCCAGATAGGGGTTCTTCGCAGAGCCGGTAAGAGAAACAGATCTATTTATTTTTTAAATCATCATAAATTAAACGTCCTCATGCTTGGGGATTTTAATTGTCACCTTAACGAAGCATCACTATGCCGAACAATACACCAAGCAGGTCCAGGGGGTCATATTTAGCCCTAATAGAGATATTATTTGTTACAAAAGGCACATGTACCTCACTCATTATCTCGTCATATTATACTTGAAATACGGGAACTATGACTCAGGTCTACCTCAGTAAAAGGTACTCCCGCTGTGTTCTCGGACTATTAGTGTTATTGTCAGTAAGTCCTAGATGGTTCCTAACAGGTGAATGAAAAGATGATAGGAAATATCTGGGTGAATGGAGGTTTCTACTACAAGGCTTTCTAAGAGTCAGAGTTATAATCTTGGCCTGAAAGCTCTGAAAGATGTTGTGTCATGTGTCAGAGTCCCTTTCTCTCTCAGCCCTCTGCATTTAATAAATTACTACCTCTGCATATTGTTAAGTAAGAATTAAGTAAGTAAGAAATTGGCAAGCAAGCAGCACATTTCATTAGGAAGAGTGTTTCTAAGTGTGTGTATGCTGACTGCAGACCATGTGAGAATCACGTTGGCACAATAAGCTCCTTTTTCATAATCTGTCCATTTGTGTACAGCAACCTTTTTATCCTCGAATAACTCTGTGTGTGTGTGTGTGTGTGTGTGTGTGTGTGTGTGTGTGTGTGTGTGTGTGTGTGTGTGTGTGTGTGTGTGTTGGAACTGGAGAGACATCAGACTTTAATAGCCAGTTGCATTTACTCTTTTAAGATTGCTTTTTGACTCTCTTCACTTTGAGCTGAACAAATTTTCAAAAAGCATTTACACACTGCAATTAGGGGGTCAAGGGGATATGTTTCCTGCAAGAGAAATGGTTTATCAAAAACACATTTGTGGTAATTGTTTTTCATTTTCTTTGAAGGGGCATGCACTTAACCTTTCAAGAGAGAATTTGCATGTCTCTCTTGAAAGTTTTTCCTGCAGTCCAATCTGCAAACCCAATATTTTATCATACAAAAATAATGCTTCTGTCTTAGATAGTTTCTCTTGAACACAATAGAAAATAAAAAAATTTATTTACAAACTCTTAAAACATTTTGTATTTGTTCTGTATTAGAACTTGTATTAATGTTTTTTTTACTTTGCAGACCTTTAGTAAGCAGACTTGTATTTGCAATACTCAACACTATCAGAATATGAACATATTTGTTTTTTTTTAAAAGGTGAGAGTAATCATAGAAAAACATACATATTGTATATTTGAGAAATCAAGACAAGTGAAATAAATATAAAGGTTTAAAATGTATGTCAGATGTCATAGCTCCTTCTTGGGTTTCTCTATGAAAATGATTCTTCTTCTCAGTCTGTACAAGAAAAAGGAAGTGGAAAATGAAAACATTCATGTGACTTTAAATGATAAATGTACTGCTATACCATAATGTCTCCCTAGGTTTGTAAGGGGACAACAACTATTTACAATTTGCCTCATTCACCCATTTACACACATTGTTGCAATGGGGATAACTAGTCTGTAGAGAAGTGCTGAGGTTTAAAGGCACTTGTTTTCTACAAATATAAACCATCTATTTGTTTCCTCTGGTCAGGTCAGAACATTATGTCGTATTCAACATCCCTGCTTTACATTGAGGTTTTTTGAGCGCAACCTAGAAAAACATTGCACACACTGAAGAACAATCTCTTAGCCTAAAACACTATTCTCCAACCTCCTCTCTTTACTTGCTGTAACAAATGTAAATGTCTCCTCTGTGGGACGATTGAAGGTGTTCTGATTCTGGTTCTCCCCTCTCTGCTCCCCAGGGATCTGTGCGCGTTGCGACCTGGGCTCTGTGTACATGCATCACAAGTTTGCGGTGGTGGACAACCGGCTGCTCATCACCGGCTCCCTCAACTGGACGATGACAGCGGTGCAGAGCAATAAGGAGAACGTCATCGTCACCGAGGATCCGGACCTGGTGGGTCCATTCCTTAAAGAGTTCCAACGTTTATGGCTGCACAGCGATCCAGCCCAATACTTCCACTTAAGTGACCCAAAACCTGCTGACAAACCTACCATACCCAGCACTGACAAGCCATGATGAGTAATAAGTCAGAGCTCTTCAACGTTTGAAGTAGAAGGTATGCATGTAAAAACCGTTTGGTCAGCTGGGCCATAAAGCATTTAGAGACTTTTATATGTTCTTATTTTACGAAACAGACTGTTGCTTTTGGCCAAAGTAACAATGTTACTGTTCAAGCTGATACAGGTTTTATTTTAAATATGTATCGGAAAATGTTCTGCATGTGAGAGTTCCTGTACATTTTGTACTTTTTGGCACAGAACTAAGATGAGCCTAATATCCATTGCTTCTATAGAGAATGCTTCTGTTTTTGTTTAGAACATTTCTTAATTAAAAAAAACATTTAACTGTTGTATTTTCTGTATATTATGTCACAGGTCGACATTGCATGTTTAGAGTTTTTGTCAATCTTCTTCTTTGTGTTCATAAAGCTAGGTAAGAAAAACGTTTCACAGTGAGTGTATTCTTCCAGTCTGAAGTACACTTTCTGTAAATAGTGTGTTGTTTAGTGTCTGCTACTGCAGTCTCAGGGACGATGTGTTGCCAAGTACAAATAAAAAAAGTCTTTCCCACTGCAGTTTTGGCAGGTTGTTTGCATCACTGCCCTGCAGCTGTAGATTTTCTCTTGCTCCAACATGATTTACTCTGTCTCATTCGCAATCAGGCCTTACAGCAGAGAAGCATGCTGGTTCTCTCGCTGCTAAACAAAACCGTTCTTTGTGCTTTGCAAACCCAAGTAGAGCTTATCCCGTTTGGACATGAAAGATGTGCCTGGGTGCATGACTCCCCTGCATTGCTCACAGTCAGGATGATGCTTGTTGAAAATACCAGAACTTGGGTTTGTCTGATTCAAGACTCGTAATATTTCAGAGATTTACATCTTAAAGTTTAGCGTTTAAAATGGGAATGTTAGACCTTACGAATCAGCTGCTATATTTTAGCCACGGTATTAATGTGACCTATTAAACGGAGAGGTCATGAGTTTGGATGCGTTACTTGTGCAGCGTAATGCCTGTCCCATTCAACACTGTTTACAGCAGGGACGCATAAAAGTAACTAATGAGTCTGCGTCAATTACGACAGAATAGTTCCGGAAATAAAGTGAGTCAACCTTCAAATTAAAAGTCTGGCAGCACAACTGCTCATGCAAACTGTCAATGTAGTATGTATGTAAATTAATCAGTTTGCTGCAAATCTTTAATTTGTATCATGATATTGAATATCTAAAGTTTCCCACACTCTTGGTTAGTCAACACAATGCATTTGATAATGTTTACATTTCGCACGTTTGACTAGTTTCTGACCAATTTCAAATCGTTACAATATTGGATTAATTAAAGAATTATCAGTCACAGCTCTTAAAAAATAAATACTACAACAACTCTGGAACTATCATCACAGGATCACATATACAGTCTGGTTGAATCTCACATAAGATTGAAAGACAACGAATGGTTTTATTTTGAAAGTTCTACCGGAAGTTCCGTTTCTATATCCTTGCTGACTTGACTCGTTGCACGGTGGTGTCCTGACAGGCGCATGCACAGCCTGGAGATCCGGAGCGGAGCGCGTGAAGTTCAGCGCCCGACAGCAGCGCACACCCATCGGCTTCAGGTAGAGGAGGAAGACCGCGGGAAGGACGGAGGAGACGTGTTTATAAACCACATCCAGGGTAATTTACTCTCCACACAGTTGTCAAAAACAGTGGAGTGTTTGTTTTAATGCTATCGGTTCGGTAGAGCTACCGTATGGTGGAGCAGTGTAGGCAAATTAGGCTAACTGTGAAACATTGTCCACCTTTTATCTCAGAAAACTTTGCGTGTGTCGTACTCGTACTTGAGGCTGGTTTGTATATATTTATTTAGATTATTTCTAACTTTCAACAAGTGTCACGAGCCCATGTGTCCCCACAGCTAACTGCAAACCCCATTTCCAATACTCATTTCCATGTATTTTATGCCAGGTGTCAACATCTGTTCATGATTCATATTTAGTATTATGCTGCTTTTATGCGAAATGGCCTTTTTTTTTTTTGCTTTAGTTATAGCATCCCGAGTAATAAACCTCAAAACAGCTATTTGTTTGCATTGTCCTACTGACGTGTTAGCGCATGCGCGGATATTAGTTGTTTTGCTGAGAGTGCACAGCAACCGGTCCCTCTTTAAGGTCTTGGAAGTTATATTCCTGAGCATGTCTCCTGAGAGATCTCAGCTATTAGGGAGTACAACAGGACTGGGCTCAGCCTCTCTGAGGGGAGAGGGTGGGAGGGGGGTAGAGGATGTGAGGATGAATGCATTGGTCAGCTTTCTTATGATGCAGAAAGATGGAGGAAGGAGAGAGTGTGGCGTGGGAGGGGGGAGATATGGATGGATGATGACAGGAGGGATGCATAGATGGGTGAGAATGAGAGAGAAAGTAAAGGAAGATAAATGGGTGTTGGTGTGTTTAAATGGGAGTGTCAGTAGGTCAGGTGGATGATGGATGAAATGTACAGGAATCGGTGGAGAATATATTGCCCCCTCGCCCACCGCTCAGCGCGTCCACTTATCCCATAAGTTTTGCTAAACGCATCCATGTGACAAATGGACAGAGCGAGCAGGGGATGACGGATAGAGGGTGGAAGGAGCGGCCCTGTTTGTGATTCATAACACAGGGATGAGAGCTAAAGAATATTGGGGGGTGGGGAGGTAGACCATAGTTAAAACAACACGTCCATTTACCAACATCTGCTCAGCTTTTACTGTGGATCAATTTCAGGCCTGTGTCTGTGAATTCTCAAATAGCTGGGATTCCTCACTCTGTCAATTGAACAAATGAGTACTGTCTTTCCACATTTCTGTCCCAGACATCCCCAACCCCACCAATCTTTAAATAAGCCAGCGTCAGCCAGGGAGGAAGATATGGAGCCTACTTATTACTCATATCGAATGCTTACTATATGATAGGGGCTTTATCAGCTGAGCACCCTGCGCCTGGCACATAGCTGGCATACTTGTTGCATGTTGCAATGCTTCTGTAATACACTGGTATCTAGCAGGGGCTAGAATTAATCCCATTTGTTTTTTTCATCAGTTAAAATATTCAGTTAAGATATTTACCCCTGGCCCGCAGAGAACTCCAGGCTTCATATAGTTTCTTAAATGTATATATTTATTAATATATTTCTTCCACTCAGTTTTGCCCTTTCAATTATCTTATACATTTAAGAAGCTTGTGTTATGTGTATAGTTTTATATTTTTATGTTTTTATTAGTTGTTGTTGGTAGGGCTGCTCAATTAATCATATTTGAATCGCAATTACGATGTTGGCTTGCAACGATTATGAAAAATTATGAAAAATATAAATATATTTTTTTATTTATGGTTTTTCAATTGAATTACACTTAAGGTTCAAGGTAATCAACTGTTAAAAACATACTAAATATTTTCTTTTCAATACATTGATGTTTTCAAAGTAATTTTTTTAGTAATCGTGATATCAATTATTGACCCAAATAATCGAGATTATGATTTTTGCCATAATCGAGCAGCCCTAGTTGTTGGTTGATCTTTTATAGTATTCTTTATATTTTGTATTGTTTATTGAAAAGGTGCTTTATTGATTATCTTTCTCTTCTGTCTATATGTACACATTTAATGTTTATTGTTTTCTGCTGTATTGTTTGCAAGGCTGTTGGTTATTTTGTCTTTTTTGAATGGATTAAGCTTATATAAAACCAAAATGTGATGTCTTCAAATGGCTTTACCAGCAGTCAGAAACCAAAAGGTATTTATTTACACTGATATAAAACTGAGAAGAGCAGCCAATCCTCACATTGAAAACAAAATACTTTTTGCTGCTATATTTATTTGAGAATGAATCACATTTCCCCCCCTTTATCCTAGATTCCATTAGAAACATTTGAAATGACTGTGGATACTTTATCAAGTTGAGTTTCACAATCTATTCATACATTTTAGAGTCTGAAGTATCATTCTTCTTCTCTTGTCCTTCTTCTTTTAATAGATGGCACTAACCAGAGATCCAGGGGCGGGCCAGGAGCATAAAGATGCAGCCGACCAGAACTTCGACTACATGTTTAAGCTGCTGATCATCGGCAACAGCAGCGTGGGAAAGACTTCCTTCCTGTTCCGCTTTGCAGACGACTCCTTCACGTCGGCCTTTGTCAGCACAGTGGGCATCGACTTCAAAGTCAAGACCATCTACAGGAACGACAAGAGGGTCAAACTTCAGATCTGGGTCAGTTGGAGAATACACATTGATCTTTGAAATATGCTGATAGAGGAAGACGGGGACTTAACATTTATTTAGCTGATGCTTTGGCCAAAACAACTTAAAATAAGTGAATTCAACTATGTGGATACAACCTAACAAATCTCAGGAATTATGCAAGTATACACTTTCATTGAATATGCTGATATACTAAAGAAATATTGTATTTTTCATCTATTTAATTGACAGTTTGACTGTATTCAGCTTGCCACTTGATAAACCTACCAAAAAGGGATGTAGAGCTTTTCTGGTGCACCATTTTTACAGAGGTCTTTTTTTATAGATAAACTAAGAATGGGAAATAGTTAACTAATATAAATCTAGAGCAAAGGATTTTGGGGTAGAAAGACTGAAAGATGGCCAGAAACAAATGTTGGCATCATTCTGAAACTATTTTTAAAGTTATTTACAGCATAACTTCCCACCAGTTAGAAATTACAATATTGTTAGTAACTAAGGTTTTAAAGAAGGTGTTAATAAATCAAACCTTTGAATAGCTCATTCTTGATTTTTTTTTTGTGAATTGTAGTCCAGTTAAACCCCGAGCCTGTTTTTCAGGCCTCAGGCTCGAAAATGACATTCCCAGAACAATTGACTATAACTTCACTTCTAAAAGGGGTAAATTAATAATCTTTTTTCTCAAAGCAATGACAAACCTGTGAGTTGGATGTAGAAAAGTCAGAATCAATATAGATTTTTTTTATTTTAAAGTAAATTCAGATTGAACATAGTAAAAAAAATTAAATTATAGTGTCCGTCCAAAAAAAAACATGACTTATAGTGAAAACCACCCTTGAATGATGGGATAGTAGACTAAAAGCTTTAGGAATCCAAACTATAACATATGATAGTGTCATATTGACACCTCTTTTTAACAATTAGAGCCAATAGAATCGAGAGGAAGTTCATAAAATCCATCTAAACATTACCCATTGGTGAATGAGTGATGCGTAGCCAGAATGCCCTGGAACCGGAAGCTGTCATACACTCTCGTAGCAGCTAATATGAAATCTCCGTTATTGACATAAATATGAAGATGGATTATCAGTAATCATTTCAAAGTGACACAGACACATTGGATTAACCTTCAGCAGCGTTTTTATCGTTTTAATGCCATTGAACACAACTGTTCAGAACAACAGCATAGCTAAGAATCTCTCCTGTGTTTGCTCCGTAATGCTACGTTGTGTGATGTCTATGTTTGCTTCCCATGTCGCGAGTTCTGATCGCTCAGTGATGATACTTATACGTCTGGAATCTGTGGAATCTCAGTTTGCTAATCAAGGGGATTTAACTTGAGTTCTGTGCTAATTGCGTTAGCATGTTTTCGCTCCGGGGTAATTCAGAGCCTTTGTTATTATCCTTTTGTTTCATTTAGCTAAACATGGTTAATATTGTCTAAAAGCTGAGTTTCTTCCCGTTAAGTGAGTATGACACATTCTTCGTTTAGTAAATGTTAAGAAGCCCTCAGACGCTGTTTCTTGCAAGATGTTGCGTTTTGCTATTTAAATAAATTACAGGATTTCTTCTTTAAAGTAATCAAAAAGCAAAGCTAGTAAAAACATATTTACATTCCTTCACCTTCAAAACGTTTACCATGACATCCACATAATCTAGTTTCTGATCTGCAGCAGGGAGAAAGGAGTGGAAGTCTGCCAGAACAAACTGATGGATGTTTGCTCAGTGCAGAACCAAGGAAGTAAAAGCTGGCACTGTGTTACAGTTCGACAAGATTTCACTCTAATTCATCTGGCACATAAAAAGTTTAAAGTGCGGAGTATAAAAACCTAATAGGAGTAGTTTTTTTTAACCACTCTGACTCATAAATGGCAGACCGTCTGAAAAAAATAGAAGAAGTAATCTTTTCTGGATTTGTACTTATATACTTTTTTATACTTTTGCACATTTAGCATGTAGCTGGGACTGGTTCAAAGCCGTTGATCTGAAATCACTTTCAGGGGTCTCTGGTTTGACAATCCCACCACCTGTCTCCAACATATATACATAATCACCTGGTGCACAAAACCACCTTCAAAATAAAAGCATAAAGAATTACTTTATTAAAATAATTACACTTAATAATAATACATTTGCTTCTGCAGCAGTTTTTTAATTTGAGTACATTTTCAGTTTTATTTCTTTGATTTTCGCCGCTACAATACTATTTGCACTTTCGAAAACATAGATACCATAGCATGTCAAATGAATCCTTTTAAATCCAGATTCCTTTTCTTGTTTTAGGTTGGTTATGGAAGAATTTGTCATCTCTCCCATTCATTTCAATATACTTTATTTATGTAAATTGTCTTTAACTAAACTCATTTTGGCTTAACATTATTATTGGACCATCAAATTAATGAAAAAGGGCAAAAAAAGTTTAATGGCCATTAATAACCAACTATATACAAAACATAGATTGATCACACTCTCCATGAGTGAAGCATAGCAGGTTTTCAATGGTGCTTAAGTATTGTAGAAAACAGACAGTAGGGTATCCAACCCCATAGCATCATTCAGTTAAATGAGGAGAAAGAAAATAACCATAAGACTCTTTGTTGTCCATCTTTTGACCAAAACAAGTCTGAGAAGAACAAAAATGTGACTAATTGAGTTAGTTTAATGATTATGAGTGTAGTCAGCCTACAGCAGAGGTGTCACTTAGAAAATATATGCGACCCTCACATCATTAGGGTCTGAAGAGCTCCTAATAATTTCCTGGAGAATGCTAAGGAACCATTTCACTCCCCACAGCAGATAAAATATTATACCATACAGAACGAGCCGGCTTGACAGACCATACATCATCCAAATTGAGTATGAAACGCTGCCGACTATTTAATATCAGAGCTGTAATTTACTGCAGGTAATTAACAGCATTTACCTTGGGGTTAGGAGGTTCTATAACACATCTCCAGCCAAGGGGTTCTTTTGAAAGTACTGTTGAACAACATAGACTGTTTATCCTCACCTCATTCCCCAGTTTGCCCTCTTACACGCTGCTGCCTGTCATGGCTGTGGCGTAAACTCATTTCTCACACTCTGGAGTTAATGACAGTTGATGTCTAACATGGTCCCCAGAGAGCAGGGTTCATGAAAGATGCATGGGTTTGAGCTGCTGGAGCTGAATGTGCTTACTGCGCACACTGACACCCAGGACAGATGTATCGCTGAACGTTAGTGGAAGGCGAGGGCTCACCCACAGTACTCCTGTTAGATTAAAGTAATACATCTTTTTGTAGCTTAATGTATTCAGCATAGCCTTCTCTGCTCTGCTTAACAATAGTACAGTTGCATACTAATACACGAGGAAGGTGCCAAGTAAAATGGAATTGGCTGCAACTTGAATGGGTTTCCTGGGGCTATTGAAACAAGCTAAACTCATTTTGTAAGACCCTGCATAAAGTTTGGCATAAGGGTGTTGGAGACAGCGGTAACTAATCTACTATGTAATGCACGGTCAAGCCCTGAATCTCCATCTTTAAGAGATATGTTTGTATTATACATGACAGCAGCTGGCTCTTAATTTGATCAGGGCAGAAGATTTAAACCTATTAGTTTAACAGCTTTTTCTGGGTGCAGTTCTAACATATCCACATCAGTTATCGTTAAATGCACAAACAGCTTTCCCGCAATCAGACCACAGCATAAACTAGAAAAGATAAATCTCTATTTCTTATCCTTAAGGCAGAGCCAAGAAGCAGAGAGCATATCCTGGTGTATAACAGGGTGGGGCCACACCAACACATGATGGGAGGGATTAGCTTCTGTTCCCAGGGTTGGTACCCAATGGTTCACAGAGTTAACCCTGTCATGTTCCTTTGAGTAGCTGTTTAAACAATAAGGACATTGCACCAAATCAGAAAAAGAAATGCATTTCTCAAGTGTGTCGTGTGTTTACAGGACACTGCAGGGCAGGAGCGCTACCGGACCATCACCACAGCGTACTACAGAGGAGCCATGGGGTTCCTGCTCATGTACGATATCACCAGTCAGGAGTCTTTCTGCGCTGTGCAGGACTGGTGGGTAGACCTGCAGATCTTACCATAAAACCATTAAGTATATTAGAATGTGTAGAGGAAGGAATTTCTCAAACTATGCAGCGTAAAAAGACAAGATAAGATGGACCTTTATTAATCCCTGTGGGGAAATTCAGTAGTTTAACAGCAACAGGGTAAGGATGAAAAGCAGGGCAGCACAGATTCACACAGATTAATAAAATGAAGGATAACATCAAATCATAAAAATGATAAAATAAGAAATGAATTTAAATGAACATATATACATATTTGACCATGCATAAATATTAGATATATTTACATACAGTATATATAAAAAAATACACGATTCTCCTCTGAAATGTAGTGTCATAAAGGTATAAAGTACAGTAGCTTTACATCAAATTGCTTAAATTAAATCCAAGCACTTAACTGCATATGAGCACAGCACACACAGATTACATGTGCTTTGTTTCTTTCCACCACTGGCTGTAGGAAATGCAGCAAAGCTTTTGTGAAAATGTTGTATTGGTGTTTCCAGGGCAACCCAGATTAAGACGTACTCGTGGGGCAACGCTCAGGTAGTGCTGGTGGGCAATAAGCTGGACCTGGAGGAGGACAGGCAGGTCCCTACTGAGGACGCCCATAGACTGGCCTCAGAGCTCGGTTAGTGACACACCCTCACTCCCATAACATGCTCTGCAAGCACCCACCAGACAAACTCAATTATATAAACAAATGATTGAATTGTCACTCGTCTATCTGTTTGCAGGCTTCCAGTTCTTTGAGGCCAGTGCCAAAGACAACATCAATGTAAAGCAGGTTTTTGACAAGCTGGTGGACGTCATCTGCGAGAAGATGAGCGAGAGCGTCAACGGTGATTCGAGTCCGTCAGCCAATCAGAATGAGGCCGGCCTGAAGGAGACGCCCAGCAGCAGCCCAGGCGGCTGTGCATGCTGATGGCTGGCAATTGAAAGGATCTAAATCTATCATTGTGAATGTAGTTATTCATGTTGAGGCAATAATATCATGGATGCTCGGCTTTCTTTTTTTAATTTGATCTTTTCATAACTTGGTGACGACTGCAGCTTCATCGTAATGTGACTGTTACACTGAGATGCCAAAGAGCTGCACAAAGCAGCCGTGCCTTTTGCCTGACAACACTGCTTTGTTATTTCTTGTCTAGTGAGTGAACAGCACCTGTTGCAGGCCAGGATGTGAAAGAAAGGCATTAGCAAAATCAGCATGGTGTGTGGATCACTGCGATTTACTTGTGTCATGCTACCCCCTTGTGGTTGCTGCATGAAAATGCATCACTGTGAGTCATCGCTGCACTAAACTGTATCATGTGAACTGCTGAGGCTCACTGACGGTTCAGTCCAAAGTGAAACATACCTGAAGGTTGAAGTGAAACATACCTGAAAGGTGCTGTGTCATTCCAGGTCTATGTGCGCAGTCCAGACTTGTAATTACTAAGGGATATTCTCATCAGCTTTAATTTATATATTTTGTTTTATTCTTTTTGTACCTTTCAATGGTTAATGCTAATTAATGACTTTCTTTTGCCAGGTTTATTTTGTATCTCTAAAAGTGGGTATTAAAAGATGTGGATCAATACAGTGTGTCTGATGGTTTTCATTTGCACAATGTAATGAAATGTTATTTTCTAAATTAAACACTTCTTACTAACAGGAAACATTTGACAGCTCTTCAAATGTTTATACGCAGTGTTGACATTGGTTAATTTCCAATCACGTCATACATTTTATTGCCTTTAAGTGTTTTTCCATGTATTACAATCAAGTTATCAACACCGTATTGCTTATTTCCAACATTCTTTGTTTGATTCTTTAAATTGGCTCTTCTTTTTTTAAATGAAATTACATTTTTGAGTTTTGTGTTGAATTTCAGAAACTATTTCTGGATGTCAATATAATTTGATTATAGGTTCCTGGTTTTTGAAGGGACTTTGATCAACAGGAAATGTTGCTTACCCCATAAGGAAAGTCTGTGACGTGTGGGGCATGAACTTTTTTTTTTTTACTGTGTGTGTGTGTTTGTGTGTGAAACCTGTGAGGAGATAAAAGGGGCTGTGAAAGGCTTGTTGAGAAGACACTCCTGGTTGATCAGACCTCAACGGACAGACAGAACTGCACAGGTACAGGCTTAATTATTTTTCATACTATCAATTCAAATATGCAACTACATGATCGACAACTTATTTTCTTAATTTCAACCCACCTAAAAATACAGCGAGATAACTTATGATGTGAACCAGTATGATTTTAACAATGAGAACTTATCTAATTCATAAAATAAAGGGATGATGAATGACACACACTTTTTTCTATTGATAATAGAGATTCTTGTAATCAAAGGTTTACTTTACAAAGTGAGGTAGTTGGTGATCTGCTGTCTGAGTATCGCTATTTTATTCAAGTATCATTTAAATGGGGTTGATTGTAATAATTACACTACTGTAGTGTTATAATTGCAATACAGTCTGTTCGTATTTATAATGTACCACTACATTATGAATATGAACAGACTTAAATTAACAAGTATGGTCAACTATCTACAACAGTCAATATAAAAAAACTGAACCCTGACACTTGACAGCAGAGGAGACCAGAACATTTAACAGTTACATTTATAGTAACAGAACCGATGTAGGAAATGTTCTCTGACTTTTCAAATTGTGTTAAAAACAGTTATCTGTCCTGTTTTCTTCTGCCTCAAACAAACATGTGATTATGCTGGCGTTATGAAAGCATTTTATGGCCACTTGAAATGAATGTAACATGTTGGCAAGTGTTTTCCTACTGAATTTTATTGTCATAGCTGCAATAAGGAAAAAATCATCAAAGGCTATAAAACAGAGCTCATTTATCAAATACAAGAAACAAACTATTGCGGGCATAGGTGTGTCTTTTATAGTTTGTCTGCTACTTGTAGTTAGAAGCAATACACTGATACCATTCACGAAAATGAGGACATTTGATTAATTGAAGCCATAATGACAACCTCTTCATAACTTACTTGGCACCTTTTAAACGTGTTCATTTAAATAATGACATACTCTATACTCATACTACTAAGTGAACACATTTAACATGGAAGAAAAGACAGTTTTAGTCTCCGCTGATATAGATATTGAGTGATTGTATAATGGACAGAGAGTGACACAGTGTAAAACTGGTTTACAATGAGAGTATACAACTTCAGAGCTGGAAGAACTGAAGAGAATTTGCTTCCTCTGTACCAGATGGAGACTCATGTGTAAAAAGGGAAACCCACAACCTGATCATGTGACTTAAATGTGGGATATTTTTAATAGCAGCCAAGGCTTAATAAAAACAATTAAGTGTGGATATGAATGTGGAACGTACCTATCAACCGAAACCTATTACGTCAGCATGACAAACTTGCAACATTTAAAAAAGAAACCCCTTCATGTTGTCCTGCCAGTTACTTTGGTTAATGTGTAACCAAAGCAAATGCCGTTTGACCCATGTTGGTGCTTGCTTGTGTTGTAAGCCATCCCCCCACATCATTGATTTTTCTATGAGAGGCAAAATGCAGAGTTGTGCACAATTCCCCTGCAAGAGAAGTAAGGAAGTGTGACCAATTAGTTATTAGTTAAACTAACAAACTTTTTGCATTCTCTTTTTTTTTACAGCGTGAAAAAGAAAAAAAAGCCCCAAGATGTGTTGCTCCGGCTTTCTCAAAATTATGATGTTCATCTTCAATGGTGGCATCTTTGTAAGTTGTAAAAAATAAAAAATCGTTTTGGTCTTCTCTTGTTCCGCTCTATTTTATGTTGGCCTGGTCTCAGAAGAAAATAGACTAGAGAACCGACATGATAGAATAATAATATTCCTAATAATAATGTTTCATGTGAATATGAACTTTTTATAAAAAGTGATGTGACTTTGTACTGCAAAACCTGAAAAACATTTGCTGTGTGTCCTACTTCAAAAAGTCAGTGATAGCTGAAAGGAACAGTTTTACATTTTGGGAAATACAAGAAATAGTCCAGCTTTTAACCCACCCAGCAAGTTGTGTTTTTACATTTCTTTTCTGTATCGACTAAACTAAAAATGTAATGTTGTTGCTGTTGAACAGCTGCTGTTGCTGTTTTACCATGCTTCCAGACAGCTAGCAGTTATAGCTAAAACTATACTTTATATATTTTCTACATTTTACAAATGTTTCTCCATACTAAAATGCTATGTTCTTAAATTCTGATTATTACATCTCTCCTCTTTCCTCACACATCATAAAGTTGGCAGGTGCAGCCATCCTGGGTGTGGGAGTGTGGGTGAAGGTGGACAGTGGTTCTCTGCTGGGGTTAGTGGAGGACATGGATGGCGCTCCATCTGGTTTATCCCAGCTGGCAAACGTCGCCTACCTGCTCATCGCCGTGGGTGCTGTGCTGCTGCTGATCGGCTTCCTTGGCTGCTGTGGAGCTGTTAAGGAGAGCAGGTGTATGCTGCTGACGGTGAGCAATGTGTGATAGGTCAACTGGACTGGGTAGGACGGAAGACATTTGTTAAAGAGGCACACCTTTGTGTCATTTGTAGAAAGATGATTTCCGCCTGGTTTTCTCCTTGCTTGAAATATTGTCACAGTTTTCATTGTCGCAGGTGTAAAATATTTTTGTCAAACCTTTTTACTACCCACATAGATTTGTGGCCCTCTGTAAACTCAAACAGTCAACGTTTGCCTTTCCACCTGAGCTCAAGTAGGGTTACAGCGTTTGCAAGTGGGAGAAAAGACAACATCAGATCCAATCCAGTTTTGGAATGAGCTTTGTCCGCTTGGGATTGTAATTTTCTTATATTTGCATTTTTTCAGTGCTGTGTCAGCCACTTTTTTTGCTTCCTCTTTCTAGAGGAATAGGATTGTTGAAAAACTTACTTTTACTAATTGTGCCTTTAAAACACTATGGAGCTAAATTAAACTGAACAAATCTGAATGATGATAATTAAATGAAATGTGTGGTATGAGGTATGTTCAAAGCAACATTAACCTCCTTTTGAAATAAAAGTATTTAAACTATGGGTGGGCAGAGAGAACTAACTATCTGAGCATTCCAAATATATCAACACAAATTTGAATTCTGGTAACAGTAAATGATGAAATGTTTGATGTTTATTTCACCAGAGTAGTCAATAAAATGTCCTTCTCATTTAGCGCTGTTATGAAGGAGGTGGCTTTCAAGATGTTAAATATTTGAGCAATAGTTTTTAGTTTGTTGTCTTTCCATTACCTTCTTTGTCCAGACTTGATAGAAATACAACCCTGCAATTAAATGCTTTACATGGAGAGTTTTACAGTATTATTTATCGTTTTCTCCCCATCCAGTTCTTCAGTATTGTGCTGATTCTCTTCCTCGTCGAGGTCACAGGAGCTGTGCTGCTGCTCGTCTTCGATGGTTTGGTAAGTGGCTCTTAACAGGAGCTAATTAACAATAATTTCCAATAGCAAGACTTAGTTTTAAAACCATTTAAGAACTTAAATGTACTAAAAAAAAGTATCAGGTTCAAAGATTGTCAACCTGTCCTTCTCAGGCCGAGGATCTCCTTGGTCAGCTAGAAGGTGAAGTCAAAAAAAGCATCAGAAAGCAGTATGGAAGCACTGAAGGCTTCACTGCTCTTTGGAATGCCACCATGGAGGAGGTACTGTATATTTTATTGCATTTACAATTGCATTGGCTTTGTAAAGATTTTGAATTAAAACTTTGTGTTTTTGTTCTAGTTTACGTGCTGCGGATACAAGAACTACACAGATTTTGAAGGATCCCCTTTCTTCAATGAGCAGGGAATGGATGTTTATCCACAAACATGTTGTAACCAAACCATCACCAGTGGCGAGTGCAACACATTCGAAGCAGAACATTCGGTACGAGACTAAGTTTAACTTAATGCATGTTAGCAAAAAAACATTTATTGTGATGGTGAAGTGCAACAGTCAGTCATTACCTCCTCTGAACTTGTTGTTTCTCTTTCAGAATATTGATGGCTGCTTACAGAGGCTTCTGCAGCTGATAGAGGAAAATGCTGTGATCATTGCTGCTGTGTTTCTTGGAATTGCTGCTCTTGAGGTATCAATATCAAATAGCCTGAGATGTATAGAGTGTAGAGTGTATAGAGTGATGTATACTTTAACCCCAGTTGGTAGTTGAAACAGTTATAGATTGCTATTTGAATTAAATATTTTTTTACTTTCTCTATAAGAGTCATGTCATCATGAATATGTCTATCTAAGCATGATGATAATATGTTACAATAATTGTCTGTAGGTGCATTATGACCTTTAAAGATTCTATAGTCAACCACTTTATTGTAACAATTTATCAAATGACATTGTTACTATTTAAAAGAGTGTGCACCTCAACTCTGCTCTACTTTAAAGAGAGTTTCAGCTCATTGTTAGGCAGTTGCAGCTTTACTACTTTGGTTTACTCTCGCATAGTGATGTTTCCTGATGCAGGAACTAGCTGCTAAACAAAGTTGAGCATTAAGCAGCTAAAGACTAAGATATTCCCCACAGTAATGGGTCCACACACCAAAAAAAGGTGACTTTATTTAATCAGGTGATCTAAAACCTAACTCTAAATAAATTATAATGCTTTTCTGTAACTGTTCGGTGTATAAATAAGCAACTGCTTGTAAGGATGTTTACAATATGAACTTAGAAGGTGATGCAATGGGAATGTTATGTTCCCATTTTGAGGCCAAACAATCACTCTTTCAGTCAATAACCGGTATCACAGATCCATTACACTGTATCTCAATAATGTATTGTTAAACATTTGTCTTCACAGATTGCTGCCATGGTGGTTTCCATGGTTCTCTACAAGCAGATTGGCAACAAGGCATGATTTTTCGTGTTTGGGATGAGATGGCAACAGTGTAATTGTTTGAGAAATGTAACTTGCAAGCAGTTTTTTTTTATGTATAACATTTCTATTTCATTTATAATAGACAGATTCTCAGGCAGACATACTTTTAATGCTCTACATGCACTATTCTGAGGTCAAAAGACCAAGTCAATGGATCTCTTACTACATTTATACTGTGATTTATTTATGTTTTAAGAAGGGCTGCTTTCAGCAAATGTTGTATGTGCTGATACATATGTAGTAATATGTGATGACGCACAGGGCAGAAAGGATGCAAATCACGTCAGTTGTTTATGTCCCTCACAATAAAGCTGTATTATAATGAATTTATTTTTTATCTTTATAATTGAAATAATAAATATCACAATCTCACATTTGTATTACACATTGATTCTGGTCTTCTTTGGCATTTTATAGTTATTTTTGTAACCATGTAGGCCTATATAAAACAATGTCAGAGGATATGGTTTACTTAGGCCTATATTGCCAACATAAAATGGATTCTAGTGTCAATAACCAAAGTACTACATATGAGATTTCTTATACTTTATTCAATAAGTATGATAATGAATTATTGATATGCAATATTGATTGCTTTGTCTTGAGAAACTTTAGAATTATTACAAATTATTATTATTCAGAACTTCCTTTCTTAGCCTCCTTGACTGACCATTTTGTAACGATTGTGATTAGTTGATTTAGTGTCGCTATGTCATGAAAAAATACTGTTAGCCAAACGTAACTTCTGTCTGGAAGTTTACGCATTTCTTCTCACATGACCTCCTTTCAGCCATCACGCTTGATGTAGGCCAGGCCTATTCAACTGGAGGCCCGCGGGCCAGATGCGGCCCAGAACCAACTCCCGAGTGGCCCAGCCTCCCGTAGCCAAATTCCTACACTAGTACAGACCATGAACGCAACACTCCGCGTTGCATAGAAACCACCAAACCACAACGCAGCACGTTTTTTGAAAGTGCATCTAGTGGTGCTAGTAACGGTGGTCCTATGATAGCAACTCTAAAACATGTCTCTCTCAACTCTGAAGCGTAAACAGAGACAAAACGGTCATTGATCTTGTGGAGCAGATCCAAGTCAAGCTGGACCTTTTCGCGACCGACTTGAGCACGGGTCGGATGCTGCATTTTCCGACGCTCCCAAACACATCACATCTCCGGCACAAATCACGGATGTGATGACAGATTTCATTGCGAGGTTGAAAGAGAACTTTGCCGGTCGATTGGATGGACTTGCTCTGCCCACAGAGGTGATGGGCTTTGCCAGAGACCCCTTCACTGTTGCAATAGAGGGGGACGTATCAACCAGAGCAAAGGAAGTGGTCCCCTGCATCGACAAGGGGAAATATACACTGGAACTTATTGACATGCAGCGCACTAACGGACCAGCGAAGTTTTGGAGTGATGTCAAAAAACAGCAGTTCCCTAACGTTCAGAAAGTAGCGATCTGTGTGCTCAGTATGTTTGGATCAACATACACATGTGAATCAAGCTTTTCACACATGAACTCAATCAAAAGTAGCACTCGCTGCTCCCTGACTGACAGCACTCTTCACCAATGTCTTAGGATTGCATTGACATCCTATGAGCCAAAAATCACTGCTCTTGTTCAAAACAAAAAATGTCCCTTCTCCCATTGAGAAAGTCAGCGATGACAAATCACAAATGAGGTGATAGTAAGCACCTAGTTTACTATAGTAGACGTGTAGTGTAGTATTCATTCATATAGTTACCCGTATCCCTTGTTATGGGTTTGTGCACTGAAGGGTTTGACAGTTCTTTCTGTATTCATTTAAATGCACTTTGTAATGTGTCTGGGTCAAATGTGACCAAAACGTATGATTTTTTTGTTATTACTTGAAAAGTAAAAAATAGTATTGCTACAGTACTACCTTTTTGTGTTGCATTGGAGCTCTTTAGCTGTTTTTTTTGTATGTGAGGACATTTATTAAGACTGCTATTATTGTATTCAGTAAATGCACTTTGTGATGTGCCTGGTTCAAAAAACATAACCTGAATATTTGACTTCTAAAGCAAACAAATGTAATGTTTTTTTCAGATTCTGTTAAATTAATGCTAATTTGTTGTGTTTTTATGCACTTTTTGACCTACCTTTGTTAGATGAACAATGAATAAAAATTGCATGTTTTTCATCGCAGTAATATGTGTTGGTCACTACCCGGTTTTTACAGGCCGCTGAATGTCTGGCCCAGCTGCATTTTGTAGTTATAAAATCTGGCCCAACTGAATGTGTAGTTGAATAGCGCTGATGTAGGCTATGCATTGGTGAACGTGCATTGCGCTCACGGCTCTCTCCCGCGGGTCATTTCAATAAAGAGAGAAAACGACCCTGTTGCATGTGAAATAGAGAAACAATGTTGTAGCATTGCTAAAAAGTGGTTTAAGTATAATGTTTTGTAAAATTACACATTTTGACACAATGTTCCTCAATATACATAATGTTAATCTTCTAGAAGAGTTTCACCTGGCAACACTGACTGAAGCTAACATCATGGCCACACAGTAACCAGGTAGCAGCTTCTACTAAAAGCAACTATGGCCTGTTGCTAAGTAGATAGAATTGAACCCGGTAGAAACGCATAAAAGAAGGATTACAGAATGAAGTTTGCCTGGACGTGTTTCTCAAGAAAAGTTACAGCAAGACCGCCTAACAGACGTTTGATGGGAATCAAAGAGAAGCGGCTAACTTACATGCTAGTGCTTTAGCTAACGCTGGCATGCATAATACTAGCGATAATGTCCCTTGAACTTCTCATATCAATGAAATGGATCAAATATACTGAAGAAAGACACTTCCCCGAAATGCACGCAGAGTTCACTGTTATAAGAGATGGCTGCATAAATTGGAAACATCTGGGAGAAGTGGATCAATACACCTGTTCAACTCAAAGCCTAGACTGTGCCTTGTGTAGCTGCAGGTAAGAACCATAGGTAAGAACACCTGAATTTGTTTGGCCCGCCGTGGGATGTTGTGATTGTGTTTTTTTGTTAAAGTTCTGAATTGTGTTATTATCTTAAGGCTTTTTCTGTAGTTATATTTGTGTTGTATGCCTGGCTCATCGAAAGACATTACAGATTTGGCTTCGCGATGTAATTAGATGTAATGTTACATAAATAAACAAACTATTACAGTACACTGAACACAGTGGTGTAAAGTAACTAAGTAGATTTACTCAAGTAGGCTACTTGAGTATTTCCATTTTGTGCTATTTTGTACTTCTACCCCACTACAGTTCAGAGGTAACTCGTGTACTTTGACTTTACTACATTAATTTAGGACCTTTAGTTACTTTGCAGATTGTGATTCATGTTGTGAAATATAGTCAACACTTAAATAAGACTTTAGTAACATGCACAACCCTTTTTTTTACTGAGTGTGTGAGCTGGCGGTGGTCCTAACAACCAACTTTATAGTGTGTTAGTGTTTCGTTTACAGCTTGTTTCTGTTGCCATGTAACCAGTGAATATGTTAATGCCTGTTTAAAGACAGAAATGCAGAAAAGAAAAACAATGACTTAGTAAATTAAAGGTCACACTATTGCCAAGAATGATGGCCTGTTTCACAGATTAATGAACTACAGACATGTTATCTGTACATGATTAGTATTAGAAGGAGGAATGTTATTTATGGCACTAATAGACTCTGTGAGGCACAAGGCTCTGTATTTCACATCATTCCAATTGGAAACATATTCATTTTTCAGCTATTAACATTACATCTCTCAACAGCCTGTGTGTTGATATAAACAGTATAAATGAGCTGCTATTGAATTACACGGGGAATGAATAGGTGAGTGTGTTCCATATGGCCTACCCTTCTGGTTAGCACTGCTTTAATTTGCTTTATGCAGTGTAAGTAAATTACATTTCAACAGGTTAATTGCTCCTGATATATCACAGGACAGTTTGCACCGGACAGGGTCAATTACAGGTGTGTGTGTGTGTGTGTGTGTGTGTGTGTGCGTGTGTGTGTGTGTGTGTGTGTGTGTGTGTGTGTGTGTGTGTGTGTGTGTGTGTGTGCGCGCTGACTGCTGAAGCAGGTTTCCCGTCACATGCTGGCGTCATGATCTGGAAACATTGTCTCTTTTACTGTCTTCATAAAACAGTTGGAACAGTAGTTAAATGACACAGGTGAGTCTGTTTCTTATATTTTTTCTCAGGGCTTGGCAGTGTTAAGGTCTGGTTGCCTGCGGACACTCTTGTAAAGGTGAACTTGAATCATTAAATGCAGTCAAGATAAAATGTGAGTCAACTTCACATCTAAAGGAGTATATTCTGAATAATTTACAGAAATGTCTTTCCCCTCTCAGGTTTAGACCTGGTATAAAAGGGTCGTATAGAGGCGTCATTTGACAGGGTCTTTTCTAAAAATATTTAAGGTAACATATACTGGCTCAGCTCTAACCCTGTCACTTGTTTTTTAGGTTCTCTATAATACTCTGTTGCTTACCAATCTGATCAAAAAAATGATAATGAAACTATCCCCAACATAAAATGTTCTTATGTATTCACCATCGTTTTCATTGTAGTTAATTCTTCTTTTATCTATAAACGATACTTTGTTTTCATTGCTGTACCGGTCGCAATTGCTATGTACAGTATAATCTTTTCACTTTGAAAACTCTTCCCATTACAACCCTTTTTAATAATACACTTTAATATTTACTGCAACAGTCATGTGAAAAAGATAAAACATCATGGGGGATGCTTATAGATTCTAGTGGGCGGACAAAACAAAGCTAATTTAAAGAAATCTAACTTGCTCAACAGTATTTTAACATTTAAAATATCTGCGGCCTCTTGGCCTGAGTAAACAAAAATACGACATCTTTCTAGTTCAATCTTGATAGTTCCCTGAGGAGTTTTTTCCCCTGTATTATTTATATAAGACAATGCATGCTTGTATTAGAATGACTTTTATGGCTATTTCAGCAGTAGTATAATTAGGTCTATATATAGTTCTGTGAGTCAGAGGTTTATTTGATCTGTTTATAAAAAAATACACACCTTAACTCCTCACCTTTAAACTCAGTTTCCCCTCTCACACAATGTTGAAGGCCTCAGCAGCTGTGTCATAAAACTGTTGTTGTGAAGCAGTGGCAGATTAAGCAAAGTCATTGGTTTTTCCATTTCTTCTGTATCATTATATTACATGTTACTTGTTAGACGCTTTTATCCAAACCGACTTACATACTCAATGCTGTGGGCAAACCCCACAGGAGCAATTTGGGGTGAAGTGTCTTGCCCAGGGACACAACGACATGCTGACTGCAGTGGGGTTTGAACCTGTGACCCCCTGATCCCAACACCAAGGCTCTATCCACTGCGCCACACGTCTCCAGTATCACTAAGAATTTACAGTTTGAAATACCTGTAACGGTCAGTGTGTGTGAGGAACAAAACCATAACATGTTCCTCCTTTGTGTCATCCATAGTCCATTGAGAAGAGTGTGTCTGTGAAAGTGAGATCATTCTTTGTAAACTCTGCCCTCTTGTGGATAGTGTTTATTCTGCAGCTAGAGGAAGTGATTCCTCTACACAAATACCTCACATATTGGGTGTGTAGGTACGAAAGTCTTCAGATTAAAGGCAGTTAGTGACATTTACCTTTCCCATTCTTACATCTTAACTGACCATAATGTTAAGTGGATGGGAAACAGACGGGGGGAAGAGGCAATGCAGAAAAGGTGCCTCTTAAGGCCAAGGTCTGTTTGAGAAAGTCAAACAGCCTTTCTGTCATAACATTGTCAGTCAGCCGGCCCTCAGCAGCCAGTGTGTGATCAGGTCACGGGTGACCGAGCACACTGAAGTCTAATGGTGTAATGATGGGATGTCAACGGAGAGGCTGAGGAGAAGCTTGTGGGAATAAATGGACAGGAGACGGCTTGTTTACACAGAGAACATAAACTCATTATTGCTTTACAGCCAAAGGTAACGGGAACACCTGCTGAATAAGAGGAGCTTTTATTGTTAACTAGACAGCATTTTAATTGCTGCAGTCTTCCTGGAGCTATGGGGCCTGGACGTAAAACAGTTTAGTAAAAGGTTTATCTCCCACATCAATTATGCTCAAATGTATGGTCGGTTGTTGAAAAGAAAAGCACTCCTTGGCTGTAACTTTGGTATTTAAATTTCCCTCTGCACATTTCTTGTGCACGTTATACGTTTCACATTTATAAAATGAAATCATCTTTTAATCCAGTTTTGTTCATGCCTCCTGTAGCGCAGCCCCAATGCAGAAATTTTAAAACGAAATAAAAGTGGTCTAATGAACTACATTTAAAAAATACCCAGAAAGTAAGTATATCCACCTTATCTGTTTATTTTGAACTTCAAGGATCAAACTTATTTTTATCACCATGTTTTTTTTTTTACGCTCACCTTGAAACTGAAATCCCCTCAGTCTGGCAACCATCCACGACCTGGAGTTTTAAGCTTGGTGTGATGTCTGACCTGGTGTGGGAATTGCGACACCTTCTTTGCATTAAAACCCAGGTGAGAACTGGCAGCTAGCTATATAAAGACCCCCTCCGTCCCACTGATCAAAGCACTGACTGCAAGGTTACCATTTGGGACCTTGGACCAAACCACAGACAAATAATTTTAAGCTTCATTTTTGGTAACTTTTCTGTAACTCGTTGTTTTTAAACAAATTAGAACATTTTTATTTTGCAATCCATCTATTTTTCCGTAAAAAAATGCCTTTTTCTATTAGCCTTGTCTTTTTGTCAAGCTGGACAGCTGTAGCTCTTACTTTCCCTCACAATGCTTTTGACAACATTATTAAAGGGTCAAGAGTCGAATTTGAATCATCTGGCAGCGGACCGAGTGAACCTGTCCGGGGAGTAGTGAGGGTTGTGCAGCTGGACCCTCGTACCCTGGCCCAGTCAGGGTTCCTGAGAGCGGGGCTCACATCCAGAAGAGTCCCCTCCCTCAACTCCAGGCTCTCCTTCCCTGCTTTCCTGTCTCACGGGCGTCCAGGGCTGGCCCCAGCTTCCAAGACCTCAATGAGTTCGTTACACCTCCTGCAACCTAAAGGCCACACTCAGATGGATCTGAAGAAGAGACAGGGCCTGCAGATGTGGCAGAGAGCCGTCCATAAAGGAGACAAGATAACTCTGCCAGTCAACCTGAAGGACACCAAACAGACATGCACTGCAGTGCCTTTCACTCAGGTAAGATTTCAAGATTTCAAGGCTTTTATTGTCATTCGTACTGCTACAGTGTAGTTATGTCGATGAAATTCTTAGGTCACAGGCTCCTCCAACAGTGCAACACAATAAAGTAAATACAATACAAGAGGTTTTTATATCATGTCTTACACCAGGATTTTATTTCCTTTATCTACCTAATAGATGTCAGTGTCAGTTCCAGATAAAGAACATTATCACACAGTTGAATAGAATATAGCTTTGTTATGAAGTGTTTATTTTTCAGTGGCAATGAGAGAGATGTCTGTTTACTCATAAAGCTGATTATGGCTCTGGTGGAGGATTAGCTGTAATGGTGTGGAGCTACATAAACAAATATTGTTGATTTTTAAAACCTCAGAGGTAAATTAACTCTGACAATATTGCCTAATCTTCCCGCTCTCTGTCATCCTCCCAGCGTGTGACGGCAGACGGATGCGACACGGTGACGGTGCACAACAGGCTGTGTTTCGGCCAGTGCAGCTCGCTGTTCGTCCCATCCGTCGGGGAGTTTTCCGGGCTGGGAACTGCGACAGAGGCCCTCCACCACCGGGCCCCCTGCTCCCGCTGCTCCCCGTCCAAAGTTCATAATGTGGCTGTGCCCCTGCGCTGTGGAGCCCAGGTCCGGCTGAAGCAGGTGATGGTGGTGGAGGAGTGCAAGTGTGAGACTGGTCGAGAGGAAAAAAGTGCTGAGGCTTCAGCTCTCGCACATCTGTAACTGCAATGCTGCTGTTAAAATCAGGGGATAGAGGGGAAGGTAAAGATTCTCATTTGGATTGACACCTTTTTCTCCATCCAATCACTGCTAAGACATGGACACTATTCTTTCTAATATATGGGATGAATGTTTAGACAGTTGTAATGATTATTTACATATGTTTATGTGTTTGTTAATGAGTCTGAATGTGTTATTCAGATACAAATATTCTGGTGTTTATTCCACCACTGATAGATGACAAAGTGACCTATATTTTGGTCATGCAATTTTCTGTTGAAACAGATGGAGCTGTCCACACTGGACTTGTGTTACTGTTCAAACCGTGTTTAGATTAATCTAAACTGAAATATTGTGATCTGTATAATATTGTCATTAAAATGTCCTATTTGTCCACATTCCCTTTGCCTGGCAATGCTAATTAGCTTTTCACCAACACTAGTTACATTTCCAAGTGCTATTTAGTTTGCATGCAAAGCTCGAGTAAAAACATGAAGAGCATTTGTTGTTTTTTTCCCACTCACTCTTGTATTCAAGTGCTCAAGTATCAGCTCCTATATTTTATTAAAAAGCCTTGTTCCACCGACTTTTAGCACATAGCACTTACATCTGAAAGCACCAAACTAGAGAGCAAACGAGCTATTGAGCACGGGTACTTAGCAGTAAGCAAACATAATTGTTTCAGCATGGACCCCTGAATTATGTATAGGAACCACCTATTCTCATGCCCAATCTCTTTTCAGCGTAGTTGTGGGAATTTGAACATCATTCACCACAGATGCACTTCAGCGAGTAGGCATGTGTGATTATGTGCGTATGTGCTTTTTTTTCAGTTAGGGCCCATAAAACCTATTATTCATTTATATCCTGGCACCTGGGCCTGGTAAAGTGAACTCATCCCACACATCCCTACATACATTCCCAGAGGAGCATAAAGAAGGGGGCTCTTTACCATGCCTTGGCATGTTGTCAAAATGACTGTTTAGATGGCCATTTGCATTCACGTGGGCTTTCTGAAAAAGTGAAAGCGTTCATTGCACTACGGGGGTGCATTGAGTCCCTTGGATTCCATTAGCATGTGATTAACATCTTGGGTTGATGGCTATATTTTCCAAGATTGATGGGACAAATATTTGCCCAAGTCTTAACTATGAAGAATTAGGGGCCACTTTTAATCAGGCACTTGTCTTTATCGAAATATGCATGGTGGAGGTTGTGAGGCTCATACATCCATCTTGACGATGATGAAATTCAGCTTCATCAACTCTCATTCCTCATAGTATTTAAGGTTGTGAAGTCTGAGTGAATTTGTATACATTTCTGCCATTATACAATACTGCACTTAATATTTATAATGCTCTGTCCTGAATCATGATCTCGCTATCTATTCTTTCCGAACTCTGTACCACTCATCTTTAGATCTTTTGTCAATTTTTATTAAAGAAAAAACACAACAAAAAACAAAGGAGATAAATAAGAAAATGGGCATAGTGATGGGAGGGGAAGCAGAAGGGGGGGGGGTTGTTGATTGAACAAACAAGGTGCACAAGAGAGTGCACCACTTAGCAAGACAGATGTCAGCCCCCTTTGCATTGTGGGATCCGGCGGAGCACTCCTGCGTCATTAAGGATGGCCTGGTTCCCATGGCGAGAGGAAAGGAAGGAGCGAAAGGAGGAGGGCCCGCTGCCAAGTTCAGCGCCTCGGGGATCAGATCAGCGTCACGGGGTGCTAAGTGGCCTAGTTAGCGCTTTAAAACGCACAATGAGCTGCCTGCTCTTTCTCTCTGTGTGTAGGCCTTTTAACTGTCAGACATGGAAATGGTTGGGAGGTGTGTGTGATGGGGGGGGGCTCAAACTATATCAGTTCAATCAAGGTGTATCAAGGTGAAAGTGAATTATAGATTATAGAATTTGAGACCTGCACGTTTACATCAAAGTTTTACTTTGAAATGTTTTTTTGTAGACTACGGATACAGTTAATTAACCGTGAGGTGTGGTTATTTTGGGATTTGGTAATTGGCTTGAAAACAAATATTCCCAGGTTACACTTTGATGCCATACATCTTATACCACTTATAGTTTTTCTGGTTGTCCTTCTGTATGTAAAAGCTGTGCGTATACCAAATGGTGCTAATCTAACTTGCTGAATAGATCGGGGAGAGAAGGGTCCATCAGGTTTCCCCGGCTGTGTGGGGCTGTTCTATTTTGTGCTTCTCCACCATGTTAGATCGAACCAGACTGGACTACGGATCAGGCTCATAGATCTGGCATCAGCAAGTGAAAGCGAACAGGGGTCCATCATGCACTCCCAGGAGCGAAACTGGGATGGTGATAGGCCTGTTAAGTCATAGACCAGACAGAGTTCCCTCACCTAAATCCCCCTCGTGCAGGTTTAGTGCTGTAGGTGTGGGCCCTAGGTGTGATGGTGTCTCGACCACAGCTAACATCTCCCGCCCCACTGATACGCTGTTACATGCTCACTCTGTGGTGTTAGTCTGGACCAGCTGGTCAGAGTTGGCTCTGCAGGAGATGGGGCCCCGGGCTCAGCCTGCCAGCCTTCTGCCTGGCTGCCAGCCCGCCTGCCAGGCTGTGTGCTGGGTGTGAGCAGGACAGAGGAAGGTGTAGCCTGCGGGTGTGGACAACATCAAAGTTTTTCATAGGATACACATCCTACAGTGGTTTATGTGGTATACTACTAACCCTGCTCAAAGTTACGCAACTAATGTTAAGGATAAAAATGTTGTATATCTTAAGGCTTTCTTAACACAATAGTCAGGTCCTTATATTGAGCTTTCAGCATTCATTCTTTCTGTTCAGACTGGCGATTATGATTTCTTTTTTTATTGAAAAAATACCATGCAAATCTTTTTAAAAGGAATTTTGTATTTTAAGCTTTCGAAGTTGCACACTTGATATCATTTTCAATAAAATCATATTGGACAGGAACCTGTTAAAGGTGGGGTAGGTAAGTTTGAGAAACCGGCTCGAGATACACTTTTTGTTATATTCCATGGAATGCTCTTAACATCCTGATAGCAATGAATATCTTAAGTGCTTTCACAAAAAATCCATTCAAAAATGTCATCTGTGGAAGCCGTATTGTCAAAAATCACGACCAATCATCTGAGCCGGCCCGGCTAAAATAACTGGATGGCCTACCTGCCTGTCAGCCTTCCATCTGTGCACAAACTTATCTCGTGCCCTCATTGGTCATGTGCGCGTTCGTGTGTGTTGAAGGAGGGGCTCTGTAAGGAAGTGGCAGATTTTTTCCGGCTGTGTATTTTCAAATTCTAGCGCACTCGAGCTGGCTTCTCCAAAATTACCTACCCCACCTTTAATGGACAGTATGAACAGGAAAACTGATTAAAGAAAGCTAAAAAGTTTTAGAGTATTTAAAAACGGCTTAAAAATAAATGAAAAACTCACATATATATATTTTCTTTTTTTTTCTTATATGCTTTGAGAAATATATATATATATATATCCAGCAAAGACTAAAAGAGTGGTATTTTGCTAAATATATAAGAATGTAATCAATAAACCTAATTTAAAAAAAAATCTATTTAACTGTAATGTATAAAGTATATATTATTTTGGTTGATATATAATTTGCTTCTGTAAGTCAAGTAGTTGAGAAAGACAGACCTTTAATCGCGAACACCTAGCAGATAACACATTTGAATATTTACGCAGTTGTGTGTTTGTTTGCGTTGTGTGTCTGACTGTACTCGTTCTGATTGAAGCCTCAGTGTGGCAGCATTATGGTTGAGTGTTGAGCTGTCAGTCAACCCTCTGCTGGAGTGTGATGATGATCGCAATGTCGCTGTGGCAGGTGCGGTCCTGCATGCCATGCAGGTGATGTCTCTCATGCTCACTTAGCTAATGACTCCAATTAAAGTAATTAAGAGCTGGCACGCTGAAACCTGCTAGACCGCCCGCTGCCAAACCATCCATTCCCCTTCACCGCCGCCCACCTCGGCTAGTACCACTACAAGTACAACCATCCATTGCACTGCTTTACTCTCCTGCCTTTTTCTTAATTTTTCTCTCATGGGCACCTCACTCTCTCCCAGCCACAGCCGTTCTGTGCGCCTCTGCTCCTGCTCTGGCCTTTAAAGAAACATGAAGCCTAAAATCAGCTAAACGCTCCACTCCAGAAGCACTTAAGAGACCCTCAGCTCAACTTATTGTCACAGAGACAGCTATACGGAAGGGAAAGAGCGGAGGCCGGGTCCGGCAGGAGAAAGAGGGGAATAAAAGAGGGAGAGGGGATGCAAGCCAGGTCTTAACGAGGGTAGAGATAATTGTTTTGTTTTGTTAGGGGCCCTTCTTCAGCGTGGAGGGAGTTGAAATGACACGCCACACATGGTTTTTGGATGAAGTGGGCAAAGGGAGGGGTGGAGGGCTTGATGCAAGAGTGGTGAAAGTGAGGAGGAGGGGGCTGCACCACAGAAAAAGCGGTCATATACAGCTTTAAAAAAGAGTCTAACATTACAATGTTCTACATGTCCTTTACCCTCACAAATTCCAATGAAACTTTGCTTATGGTCACGCACATTTTTGTCTCCCACTCACGGAACCTCAAGAAGATTTCAATGTCAAAATACACATTAATCACAGAGAACTTCAATATCACAGTCCACAAATTCCAACAGTGGGAAAGATCGCAGTGGGCCAAGCTGGAGACAAAACTTCTTTGGCTACCAGGCCTGGTCAGATTTATCAAAATGTATGAAACGGCAAACATATGAATCTCTGGTGTCTTGATGTTCTTTCAACACTTGGATTTGCAGACTGATAGTTGATGTGCCTGGATTTGTAGCTGGCATGGCAGTGCAAACACATTTCCAGAATCTGATGTGAGAAATAGACTTTGATGTGAACCCTGGATTTACCTCCCTCTGTCTTCCTCATGTGTCCGTCTACTCCGGCCCAAAACCCTTTATATTTTTTTTTAACGTTTCATCAGAAGCAGAAGTGAGAAGTGCTATAGTGGCTTGCTATAAATGATTAAA